CCAAAGTAGGTTGCATGTGAACTTAGGAATTGTTTTCTAGTTTATTTGTTTTACCTAAAACCCATCAATTTGTATATGTTATATGTTTGTGTGTTGGTACTTTGAGGGAACTCACTAAGCTTCGTGCTTACAATTTTAGTTTATGGTTTCAGGTTCTTCAGAGGACCGTGGTGAGGCGAAGGCGTGACCGTACATATCCTTGGTTTTACTACTGATTGTGTAACGCTTGATTTCCCGGTATGAGTTTATTTCCTAATTATTTATGTTTCCTCTTTGGGACACGGGGTGTTGGAGCCTCAACACGGCGTGTCGAGATGTCATTGGCCGCGGAGTTTAATGAGCCCACACGGCGTGTTGAGGTGCCTCAACACGGCGTGTTGGCAGCTGGGAAGGAAACCCTAATTTTTAGGGTGTTGCACCCTATTTAAAGGCCTTAATTCCCCTAGATCGGCCTCCTTACCAGCCTCCGTTGTTATCTAAAACCCTAAATCGAGTTTTGAGCTCTCTTAGTGGTGTTCTTGAAGTTTTGAGTGAATTCTTGTGGATTTTTGTGCTCTTTTGAAGGAGCTTTGGAGTTTGAAAGTGCCTAGCTTGGAAGGAAGGTCATAGATCCAGAATCTCACCACTTGTTGCAGTCTCCTTGAGGTATCAAGTTCATACCTTGCTTTGTTGTTGATTAGATCTTCTTTTATGGGGTTTTGTTATGATTTTTGGCTCTTAGTTGGGTTGTCAAAGGAGTTAAGTTGTTTCATGGGTGGTCCTGTTAGATTTGAGCATTTTGTGGCCTCCTTTGACTAAAAGGTGCAAACTTTATAAGCTTCTAGGTCTCATGCATGCATTAAGTCCTTTATTAATCCCTCCTTGAGCTTTAGAGCTTCTTTTTGGCATGCATGAATGTAAAGTTGGCAACTGTACGTGGTCTTCCAGCCCTAAGGTGTCAGATCTGCATTTTGGGGCTATGTATTTGAAGATTAAGTGCTTAGTCGTTAAGCCCTCACTCTAATAACCTAGGGTTTGGGTTTTGGAACCATTTTGGTGGTTCCTAGGGGTAAAGTTGGAAACTTTACCCTTCTAGATATCATTTTGGTCGAGATCTGAGCTTTGGGGCTCTTGGATTCGATGAAGGAAGCTTAATGTATTAAGTTGTTGGATTTCAGCGAACACGACGTGTTTATTGGTAAACACAGCATGTTTATTGGTAAACACAACGTGTTGGATTGGTTTTTCCCGACTTTGTAGCTGATGGAAAAACATGGCGTGTTGAAGGACAACACGGCGTGTTGGGTCAACACGGTCTATTGACCTTGACTTTTGACCTTGTCCTTGACCAAGTTTGACTTATAGGGGGATGTTGAGGCATTGGATGTTGAGGCATTGAGTTGTAAACACTTTTATTAGTAAATAGGTTGTTTTAAAAGGTTTAAATTTATTGAGATTTTTGGGATGTTACATAAAACATAAGCATAAACAATGAAAAACAATAAAGACATAATAGAGATACATATCAATGACAACATCGGCGTTGTTCAGGCCTCCTCGGCCGTCAACTAAAAAGCTTAGTTCCTCACCACAAGAGCCTCTACTTTGACCTCTTGGCCATCAATAATCATCAACGTAGCTGAAACATGGGTCTTTGCCACTCCACCTCATAGTATCTACCTTCTTATAGCCCATCTTAATTTTCCAATTTTTTAATAGAACATCTTAAATGTCTTTCTAAACCCTACTTAAAACAATGAATCAAACACCAATGCTCTTAGAATAAGCTGTGAAATATTTATAGTTTGAAATATGGAGTCCATTCAAATATAATGCACAAAACATTCAATGGCAAACTAGCTAAACATAATCAGCCGTTCAGCCAAATAGCAAAACAAGTTGCTAGAAAGATAATAGCATAATCCTTTGTTTTTTCATTTTATTCATTTATTGTTTCATTTTATCCGACAAACCAAAGGGTTAAAAACCTCAAACATAATTAAAAACACCAAAAAAAAAAATCAAAACCCAATTGGCTTTTTTTATAATTTTAACACTAGTCTATGCTACACAATAAATAGTGACCAAAAAACATAGGCCACAAAACATGTATGCAAATGACTTTTAAACACCTCAAAAAAACTAAACTAGACCTTTGTAAAAGGCAATAAACAGCATCCAGCAATTGACTCCAAAATCCAAGTATGCCCAACAATCTGAGAACAAGATTCTTGAGCAATGTCTTGAGCTACAGCTATTCTTTGAAACTTAACTGAATCCTCATCATCAAACTCAGAGTGATCTGAAAGGTCAGCATTGTAAACAACCAAACATTCCCACTTCACATCTTCATCTCCACCATTACTACCTGACAATAACTGATCCTTTGCCTCAACAACTGTGCCACCAGCAGTTGCCACCAAGTTTAAAAGATCACTCTTGAAAGCTTTTACAAAAACCCCAACAAAGTAAAACTTCAAGTTGTTGAAAAGCTTTGGACCCTGCAACAAGATATCATATTCAGCTCCTTACACCATGAATGTAAAAGGGTAAAACCGTAAAAATGGTCTTACATTATTTTTTACTCTTAGCCTTCCAGCTTTGGGCCCACCAGAACATCCATGGGTGTCTAGATGGACTTCATATGGTTCTTCATTCACAAGACATCCAGCTTCCACACATGCTTTTACCCCTGAAAACATAACAAGATACCAATAAAACCACAAGAGCAAGAACATCAGCCACCAGGGGTAAAATGGTCAAGATTGGAAACCTTACATTCTACTGTAACAATCCATTTCCCATTCAAAATGGCCATAAGGACTTTCAATGTTCTTGTGCATGCACCATTTGAATCTATGGCAGCAATGACATGAGTCACATTAGGTCTCCAGTATCTCAACACTATTGAATCATTACTTCTTGCAAATTCAATCAAAGATGACTGCATTTTCAAAGTTGTAGATTAGTAAATACAAAAAAAAAAATATATCTTTGGCAAAAATAAAACAGCTTTTTATACCAACCTTTTCTTCTGGAGAAAGAGCTGAACCACAAAATACCAAATTCTGTTTAGCTTTCACTTGTGTCCCGCAAGGATTCATATGTGTAGATATTCTGCAATCAGAATTAAATAAAAAAAAAAGTAGATAAAAAGGAGTAAGAATGCTGAATACTACATATCCATGTGAGTAGTTACAACATAGTAACAATAATATATAAAACTAATACCCTTTTTCAGTGTTTTTCTTCATTTTCTTCTCATGTGGAAATTTGATATGTGTATGATTTGGACAAAGCATCAAAAAGGCAACCTAAAAAAGGCATAAAATTAAAAAACTTATGATAGAATTATAACACCATATTCAAATTCAACCAAATGTGTATAAATGGTATCTTACCTGATCCCATCTGCATTCAAAATTGTAATATGCACATGGCACATGGTAGGTTCTTTTACATGACTTCATATAGCAGCCTAGAACAGCTCCTTTTTTACCACAGCTGTCACATTTCAGCTTGCTAGCCCTTGCCACTTCTGATTCTAAATTATGAATAATTTCATTCTTAAAGTAAATCCTAGGAGCCCTGAAAATGTAAAGATCAAATGTAAGTACATAATCTTCCCACTGAAAATATTTAGTTGAAGATTGTAGAGATTCTAGTACTCAAAAGTCAATAGCATACCATTGAATACAATTTTCATGAACATTTGTAACCTTAGAGAAGTTAGCCACATTACCCACTACTTCCTTCCCTCGGGCATAAGACACCAATGGTCCACTCCCCTACACAAAATATAAAAAATAACATAAGTTTTACCTTTCAAGTTTTTGATTTTATCTCTTTTAGAAACGTGAATAGTTTTTCTTGAGAGCTCACATCTGTTTCTTCGGAAGAATTACAAAAGGCACAAGGACTTCTTTTCGAATCCAAAACAACAGATGTGTCATTTAGCCCATCACTTGTTTTCTTTTGTCTTTTGACTTCGATAGTTTGACTTTTAGCTCCTGAGGTGGATCTAGTGTTTGACTCAAGATTTGTCCCATAAGAATCATTTTCAACTGGTCTTTTTGGTGAATGTCTTTCAGTCTCCATTTGCTTCTCAGTCGCCACCTGTCCGGTTGAATCAGAAACACTTGGTTTATCATCAACAGTGATGTTGAACTTTTGTTTCTGTCCACTTTCTGGGGTAACACATTTTTTAAAAACCCTAGTGGCCAATTCTTCAGCAGGAGTATTTAATAAAGTGGGTTTAACAGTTTGTGAAGTTGTAGATTGCCCATTGCTGGAATTCCCAGATTGTACTATCTCAACATTCTCATTTCTTGAATCACTATTAACATCGATCTTAACAGAAGCAGGGGACTGTGCTGATACCCGAGTAACATCTGCAGGAAAGAAAAAAAATCAGGTAAATCCAATTCAATATTGAACGAAAATAAATAAATTACTAGGGTTTTTTCTTACCAGATTGCACAGGACGAAAAAGATTTGCATTGAAGGTACGATCAATATCCCTATAGATGTTTACAATGTTCTCCATGAAAGACGCAGGCTTCACCTCTGCACGATGATGGACAAGGTAAGATTTGCTGACTTTTTGTGATTTGCTTTTTAAAGATCAAAGAAAGTAGCACATTCAGCATTCGGTTCAGTAATAATGAAGCATTTTGAGAGATGTCCCTTTAGAATCTCCATCCAGCTTCAAATTCGATTTGTGTATAAACAACAAGGTTTTTTCTAAGAAAAATGCAGTCCATGTTTTGGAATTAAAACGGAAAAAAGAAGAAAACAGAAATAGGCACGTGACAAACCAAGTTTTCCTTTTTCCCTACATACCTCGATCGATATACTGATGTTTACAAGATGGACACTCGAACCCAGTCTCCACTGTTTTCGGCATACACAGACTGTTTTCAAAACGACAATGAGCCAAAAAAATTAGTAGTCTTGTCCTTTGAGTTAGGAGAAACAAGTGCTAAAATAAAAAGAATGTAAACTTACTTGCAGAAAATGTGATTGCAAGGTAATAACACCGGTCGATTAAACAACTGAAGGCTGCAAAAACAACAGTCACAGACATTGCAATAACAAAAATCAGCATCAAAAATCAGCATTCGGTAGCTTAAAGAGGCATCGGTCTAACTAAGGTATACGGAAATAAAACGGACCAAAGGGGGCATTTGAGCTCGAGGCCGAGTTTTTGGAGATGAAGCACCCATGGATTGAGCAACCTCTGAGCTTCTTCCATCTTGCTATAGCTCCTACTGTAAATTTCTGCAGGTAATGATAGTGATGTGATTTGAAGAGGAGATAGAAAATTAGGGCAGTTTAAATATATTGGGGTTTAGGGTGTGGTATCAGCTGTTTTTTGGGGGTGAAAAATAGCGGGATAGTTGCCGCCGAGGGGTTGAAACGAGGCGCCTATTTTCAAGTTTTTGTTCCACGATCTTTTCAGATACCAAAATCCCGCCAGGTACTCCCAAGTCCCAAGTCCAACTTTGACAAAATAACTTGATAATTTGGTTTTTATGGTACCTCAAAAAAAAAAAAAATAAATAAATAAAAAATAAATTTAGTACTTATTTTTAAAAATTAAATCGGATCGTCCATGTGTTTCCATTTCCTTGCACGGTTAGTTCCTATCGCCGTTAGTCGTTAGTGGTTTCCATTTAAGTGCCCCAAAAACATGTTTAGTCCCTCGTTTCTTTTAAATTTATCATTTTAGTCCATCGTTTCTTTTTAAAAAATTATATTGTCATTTTTTGCACTTATTTATAACTTATCAGTTAAATTAGATTAATTATAAATTTTAAAAATTTATATCATTTTCATCTCTCTCTCTCTCTCTCTCTCATTTTCTCTTTATTCAGTGTCCTCTTTCTCAATTCAGGCACCTATCTCATATCATCGTCGACAACCATCTCCTTTCACCGTAGGCACCTTCACCAACCACCACCTT